GCGGCCCAACCACCTTCAGTTTTCCTTTTAATCTATGGGCTAATGTCTTCAAAATCACTTTCTTTTGCTTTTAGTACATTGGAGGTGGGGACTAATTTTGGATTGGAAGAGATTGTATAAGGCGAGTTTTCTTTATTTTCTTCATCCCATTCTAGTATGTGAACCTTTCTATATGAGGATTTCTTTTGGATTCTTCCAATAAAGTGCAAGTTGTTTTCTTCTTTCATTCCTAGAACCCATTCTTTCTTTGATCTCTTGTGCGATATTCTTCTCTTTTTTGTTCTTATTTGTTTCTTATTTATTACATTATCTTGTATTAAGGACTCTTTGACTTTCCGAGAACCTTTATCTATAATTACTGTCTCTTCTAATCTTTGGAACCAAAGAGGTACTCGTCCCATTGTTGATACATTCTATACTCTACGAATTTGTTGCCAAGTGAGCATGGAGTTGTTATATTGTGAGACTATCTGTTCTAGATACCAAGGGTTTAATTTTTTAAGGCTTATACTGCTTTTTTCCAGATCTTTTTTTTGAATTAGCCCTTTTAGTTCGTTAATTAGACCGTTTCTTGGAGCTATATTCCAATTTTCTTCCCAGTTTGGGTTTTTAATATTGATCTCTATTTCTTTTGCTGCTGCCAGTATGGCTGTGTTGAGATTGTTTTTTTCATTTGTAGAGCTTTATTTCTTCCTTTGATAGAAGCCATATTGGCTTTGTAGATCTGAGTGTAAGCTGAGCCTCTTTTAACTGCATTCTGGTAAGATCGCCTACCAAATTCAGATTATTTATTTTAATTACCTATTTTGAAATCATGTGCTCTGTGTGATGTTGCTATAGAGAATTAATTTCCCATATATCTCTTTGTGTCGGAATAGAATTGAATGCCTTTGAGGACATTTCTGCTTTCTATTTAGCTACCCGTAAAATCGGCTGATATAGTTTTTCACATTCTCTTTTGGTAAGCATTATTGTATTAAGTTTGTATTCGGCTCGGGGAAGAACTACCATATTGTTTATGTATTTTATATGTTCTTTTGAGATTCTTTTTTTAAGTAGCAAGTTGGCCATTTGTTTGATTTTCTGGTCGAGTTTTTTTATAATTATTTGTTTAGGTTCTGCAGATGTGAGCCAGACCCCCAAGTATCTTACTATTTCTTTTTTTTTTTCGCTACAATTTTCTTCTTACCTTTCTTTATAGCTATCGACTTTTCTTCTAACTTGTTTTTTGGGTTTATTACTAATAGCTCAGTTTTTTTCCCATTAATTTCGATGTTGTTTAGACTGAAGAAGGATTCCGCAATTTCAATTATACTTTTCATGTCTGATTTGGAGTTTGCTATAAGAGCTGTGTCATCTGCATATGCAAGTTCTACAACTTGCAAATTTTCTTTTCTTGTATTTCCCCATGTCAGATCTATGGGCCATTCAATTTTGGCTTCTGCCCCATTGTTACATTTTTGCAGTTTGCATAGCAAGGGGTTAAAGTAAATTCTCCATAGGAGAGGTGAGATCACCTCGCCTTGGTTTATTCCTCTTTTTGCACAAAAACCTTCAGTTAATCCAAATTTGATAAGTACTTTAATTTCTTGATTTGAAAATAGATTAATTAAGAACTTTTCTAATTTTTCTAGGACTTTAATACACTTTAATGTTAGTTGCAGCCTTTTAAGATCGACTGTATCAAAAGCTTTTCTGATATCAATGAGAGTTATCTACATTTCTTTGTTATCTTGTTTTGCTGACTCGATTAGAGAATTCATTATATGGATTGGATCTTGGGTGCATTCTTCTAGTAAACCTGCAAAGTTGGGTCCTCTCAGAATCTTGTAGGTAATTATTCGGTCACTTAATCTCCTCTGAATAATTCTAATTAAGCCTTTTCTTGTTGCTTCAAGAAGCATTATAGGTCTGATGTTTTCTAATTGTAAGTCCCATTTTGCCAGTTTTGGTATTGAGAAAATTATACCAATTTTCTATTTTCTTGGCATTATTCTCTTCTCTAAAATTAAGTTTAAAAGTTCTAAGAGAATCTTTGTTGCTTTTTTTCCTAGTCTTTTTAGAATTGTATACCCGATGTTTGACAACTCTAGAGCTGAGTTGTTTGAAGTCTTTTGAAGCATTTCTTTCCATTCCCTTTCCTTGATTTCATCTGACAAGCCATTATACCACTCATGGTTAATATAGCTTAAAGGTTCATATTCTGATTGCCACTCTTCTTTTTCTTCGTCTGATTCATTATCAACCTCTTCAAACTGTTTCGAGAAGTGCTTATCTATGGCTTGTTTGACTTCTTTGGGTTCATAAACTAGCTCTTTCTTCCCATTTCTCTGGTCTGTTGTGACTAGGATTCTTTTTATTTTTAATTTATTCCATGGTCTTTCGAGGATGCTATTTAGCATTTTCTTCTCATACTAGCTGACTATACCAAATCTTCTTTCTATATTTTCCTTTATCTTTTTATTTTGCTCTGTTCTTTGCTCTATAATCATTTTCTTTTCGATTACTTTTATCCACCCTTTGGGGTCTTTTATTCATTGCTCCGACCAGCAATCTTCAACCTCTTTAATTTCTGTTTCATTATTAAAGTTCACTTGATTTATCTGGATATTTATCGAATATTGATCTTCCAGTTCAATTTTACCATTTAGGTTTTTGAACCCCTTTCTCCCTATACTTCTAAGTTGCTTGATCCATTTATATTTTGGGTTCCAGATAATTTGCTTTTGTCTTTCTTCTAGTGTATTATTAATTTTCTTGAAGGGGACTGTTTTGTTGGCTGCTATTGTTATACAATTAGCTAGCTTTTCCCAACTTTCATTTATCAGATATTCTGTTGCTGAGAGGTTTTTTCTTTTTGACTCTGTTTTGTTCCTCATTTAAATATTTTTCTAAGAGAGAGGTAAACTTTTCCCAATCTTCATTGGACATTTTGTCATAAAGATATATTTTGTACTGTCCAGAATATCTTTTATGTTGTTCGGCAACCGAATTAGCATGAAGTATTGGGCTTAATAGTACCTTTGCCCATATTAGGTTGTGATCATTATCTGTCACCAGATCCATATCTTCGATGTTACTATCTATTATCAGCTCTTTGATTGTTGGATCTAGCCATATATGGTTTATTTTTGAGTAATAATTTTTATTAGACCAGGTTGCCTTAAATGTTAAAGAGTTGATTAATAGGTAGGATTCTGCGTAGCCTACTCTTTGAAGCCAATTTAATAAGGGCAGTTTACTGTGTTTGTGTTCTGAGGTCTCATCATCTGTAAATTGGCTGGGAGTAGTGTGAGGGTCTAGTTCAGCATTAAAGTCTCCTCCTATTAATATTCTTGTATTTGGGCTGCTCTTAGTAATGTCTTCTATCAAAAATTGCTGTATCTTTCTTTGCATATTTTTGTCATTTGGGGAAAAATAAACTACTTAGATAACTAATATTGTTTTTTTAAATCTAAAGATTGCTTTTATCGCATACGTATTTTGCACACAATTTTAGTTAGGTGTGTTTGCTATTTTTTTTCTATTATGATACCTACACCTAAACCTTTTTTCTTTTCTATATTATCTTTTGTCCAGAAAGCCCTGAATTGCCGCTATTCTACTTCTAAGAAAACCTATCCCTTGCACTAATGTTTGTTTCTGTTAGTCCTATAATGTCCAAATTTTCTTCTATATTAAAATTTATAAGCTCTTGTAATTTTGATCTATTCCCTTTAAGACCATTTATATTGTGAAAACCTAATTTTAATTGTTCGAAACTTTCCTTCCTTTCATTGAATTGGCCTAAATTTTCTGGTCTTAGGGTGTCTCTCAACTCTTTTACCTGTGATTCAACTGTGGCAACTTTTAGAAGTGCTGGGCAATCTGCGACTCCAGCTCTGTAAATCTCTTCTTCATTTCATCTACTAGTCCCCAAATATTTTTTGTTTGGTCTAATTCGTCCTCTTGTTTTTCTTGTTTCTTTTTTTTCTCCCTTAGTACTATTCTGTTTGGGCCGGTTGCATATTTATTTTCTATGCTTCCGAGAGGTTTTCTGATACCGTTGCTAGCTCTGGGGCTTCGGGTATTTCTTTTATTTTCTTTACTATCTGAGGAGTCATATATGTATCTTTTTGCTCTAATACTCTGTTTGGTAGATAGCTGTTTAATAGAGAGCCTTTCTTTCGGTGTCTCAGGTTTAACTACTGGTCTTTTCTCTTTCTCTATATCTCTATTTGCTTTCTCGTACTGAAAATTGTTATATAATTTTCTTCTATTTGAGAGTTCAATAGATGGGTGCCAGTTGAGCTTGGCATTGAAGTAATAGAGCTTGCAATTCTGAGCTAATGTAAGATCCTTCTCTGATTTAAAATACAAGTAAGCCACTTTTCTTTGATTTCCATTACAATTGCTTAGTATATATACTGCCTGCACTTTATACTTCTTCAGTTAGCATAAGAGAAGACTATTATAAGCAGATGTTGGTAAATTAGAAATTACACTTTTATACTAGTTCCTTTTTTCTAATTTAGAGATATCAAATTTGCCAGGTGTAATGCGATATGTCTTGCTATATTCCAGGTGGATGGACCAACTTTCTTTTAGAGATTTTCCTTTTTGTTCAGAAATTGGCAAGATTCTAATATAGGCTGCCTTGGTTCTAAAATTTTGTTGCCATGAGATTAGCTTTGCTATACCAAAATAACCAAGATATGACTTTATTACTGATGCATTCATTTCTTTAGGCAGGTCCCAAATTGTAAAATTATATATTAGGTTGTGTATTTGTTTTTGCGGAGAAGTTTTGTTCTTCGGGGCCCAGGCAGAGTTGTATATATCCTCATAATGCTTGTACTTTTTATTGCTTTTGTGTATGTGGGCTTTTACTTTCTCCTGTAGTACTTCTTCAAGGTGCTCTATAAGACTATAATTAAGCATGCCACACTCATTTTGAATTAATGTCGCTTTAACTAATTCCTCTTTGATTTCTGAAGAGTGAGGAATTAATTCTTGTTCTTCTAGATTCCGTTTGCGGAAGTTGTTGTACGGTTCTTCTTCTGTGTTATTTATGATGATATAATTTTCTGTTATTAATACAATCAGTGCAGTTTCTATAAATATTGGCTCAATGTTATTTTTGATTTTTTGGATATTATTACTGCATTGCGATGTGGTCTTTCTTATAAGACAATCTGTTTTTTGATTTTTGTCCATTTCCATATTATTGCTAGTTTTAGTAAGAGGATTTGTGTGATAATATGTTGTATCTTCCATGGGAATAGGTTTGCTTTTGAGCCTAATATTGTCTATTTGGGAGGTTACTTTATTTGTTTTGTTTATGTGTCCTTTAAGTTTACTAGGATTTTCTATAAGAGCTTCTTTTTCTTCTGTTATATTAAACCCTCTAAATTTTTGTTGTTGTGCATAATCATGCCGCTGTAGTACTGTGTGAATGATTGCAATAAGATAAGTTTCTGTTGTTCCTAAATACTTAGAGACTTTTTTGTCTTCTTCCCAAAGATGTAAGTTTTGTTTCTTCTGAATCGAAGCTCTTTTCTTTTTTGACTTATTGAAAAAATTTTTATAATCTATAAGATCCAGCATTTTACGTATATTGTTTGTTTACTTCACGTATCTGTTTGTTGTGTTGTTTGTTTATCTACCGGAATCTAGATTGTTTGTTTATCGCCGAAAATAGACGTGTTTGTTTGTTTTGTTTTGTTTGCTTGCAGATCTATAATACAGGGTCTATAGTAAATCCCCAAAATTTTTGTCGAAGGTAGGAATTTTTTCCAAAAAGTGGACTTCCAAGGGTGTAAGAGATAATATTGTTCTAGGAAACTCCAGTTATTTTCCTTTGTTCTATCTTTTAGCTTAGTACTATTTCTAATGTTGACTTAGTAGAGTATAGCCCAGGACCTTGGTTTTCTTTAGCTCCAGATTTGGTTTTAGTGATTGTCAAAAAGAGTTATCCACTAATCCACTATTATTAAATAATAATGAGAATAATTTTTTTTTTTTTTTCCCTTTGATAACCGTGTACTAAAATTTTATTAAATGTAATGCTTAATACAAGACCAAGCTATCTAATAGGGTATTATACTAAAAGCCGGCTGTCTCTCTGAAATGCCCAACCTTGGTTATCGCACTGATGTTGGCCACTATACCCCACATACGGTGCCCGTATTTAAAGATACAATATA